ATATCGCAAAACGCAAAGTTATCGGGCTTTTTAACACTTATTTATCTACATGGACATCTCACCTATCTTTTTGAACACTTTCAACAACTTTACACCATGTATTTGTCCTTTGATTCCAAAAAGTAAGCACTACTGGCATTTCATTTTGAAACGAAGTGGCGTGCGCACGCGTCACGTTACCGGATATGTACGCAAAACACATGGCAGCTATGGTGCATGTATTATTCACAGGGGTGATGGGGTGAACATTACTCACGTTGCCAAGCAACATCAGCGCGAGTTTACCCCATCACCCCCGTGAATAATACATGCACCATAGCTGCCATGTGTTTTGCGTACATATCCGGTAACGTGACGCGTGCGCACGCCACTTCGTTTCAAAATGAAATGCCAGTAGTGCTTACTTTTTGGAATCAAAGGACAAATACATGGTGTAAAGTTGTTGAAAGTGTTCAAAAAGATAGGTGAGATGTCCATGTAGATAAATAAGTGTTAAAAAGCCCGATAACTTTGCGTTTTGCGATCAATTTTTCATGGGGACAGGTGGTAACAGGTCGTAGTTGGTATTTCCAGCCGACAATGTACTATAGCCCTGCGGCAGTTTATCGAACGCGGGCTATAGTACTAGAGCTATACTGTAATGATCATGTATAGCTTGCTATATGTTTTAATCATAATGTGATCACTAAGCAATGGGCTTACCTTCTCTTTACAGCTACTATACTCCATAGCTCAACACCGACCCATGTAGTGGCGGTGGAAGACCGTCCACCCCTCTCTGAAAAAATGCAGGATATGCCTAGTGTAGCTCTAGTACTACTGCCTGCGGCAGTTTATCGAACGCGGGCTATAGTACTAGAGCTATGCCTAGTGCAGCAGTGCCACAATCGTTTCAATTCAAATATGCCGGCCATGTGATTTCGTTGTGCGATCGTTCCCCTTCAATAAAGTGGCTAATTGAATTTGATCATGTTATAGGCCAAATGATTTTAATGTGAATTTCTAGCTGGCCGGCTAAAAACACGAGTTTATGTTCTATATCTGTTAATATTCCAAGTCTATTCGTTTAAACCTTTTGCTATGTACATGTACAGCATAGTATCCATTTTATTTTATTATTGATTTTCTCGTGGGCAATAATAGTTTTTATTTAATGGCATGTAACATATACTTTCCACCAATTACAATGTGGTTTTTGCTTATGTATTTATTTTATTTTTTCAGTGGTGTGTTCAAGATGCCAACTGTGGTTTTGCTTGACGTTTCCCTATCAATGTGCAGGACAGTCTCTTCTAGCGAGGAGTACCAGCGACACAACCTAGCACTGCATGGCTTAAACACACTACTCGACTATGTAGCTACTCATCAGCGGCTTGAATTCACCTCACTGGTTCAGTTCTCATCGCTCTGGGAGGTCCTTGTGCCTTTCACGAGAGATTATGACAAATTAAAAGCGGCACTGACATCAACAGATAGCTTTGATAAGACATTTATTGAAACTGTCCTCAGTGGCATCACACCGATCGTGATCGAAGAGTGGGGTGCCAATATTCCATGTCAGATTGTGCTGGTGACTGACGGCACTCTAGGAGTTGGACAAGGGTCACTTCCAGTTTCGGTCGAAACTAGGGGTACGAGAGCAGCAACAGATCCACCTTTCCCATTGCCTTTCCCATTTCCCTCGCAACTGCATGTCGTCTTGCTAGCCGAGGCAACAGATTCATACCTACAGAATTCTCTCAGCACTTACAGAAAGCTAATAGAGTGTAACAATGGCGCAGGCAGCCTGTCGTTGCCAGAGGGCGAACTAAGTCTAAGCAGTGTGCAGAAGTGTTTCACGATGCTTGCAGAGACCCATTTTTCATCATTTCATTCAGTCCTTCGATGTGGTCATCTGACATCAAACGTCAACATGTTTCCACCACCGCAGCCCCACGTGGCATCCAAAGATCTCAACTCAAAAGTGTGCATGCTGTCCACTGACATAGAGATCTGTGGCTTCATTGATTTGGCTGATGCTGCAAGTCCTGCTATTATCTCAAGGTACGTAAGATAATATACAATAAGTGCTGCCTATATCTTTTGTTCTTAAAGCTGGTGATTGTGTTTTTTTTGTAGTAAATGGCAATTCATCTCTTCCTTTCATCCATAAGCCACCCAGCTTACTAGCTGATTAAATAACCTTCTAGCATCTATCTATCTTATCCTGTATTATTTCCTCATTTCATATTATTCATTATTCATTATTTCATTGTGAAGTGATTGCATGATTTTGTATTATTACACAATGTACAGTGGTGGTTTGTGCTAAACTTGACCAAAATTGACGTATCATGTTCTACTCTCATTAAATCTAATGTTACTAAAATGTCTAATGTGCATAATCATAAAAGCAAAAACCAATAATGAAAAAAGTAATAGTTGTAGTAACAGTAAAAAATAGCAAAAAAGAAATAGTTCATCGCACGTTATTTTCCTATATGATAGCAAGGAACGGATTAAATCATTTTAACGTTTTAACAAAAGCAAGCATAAATTCTTATGATAAAACTTGAAAGTTTCTATTTGGAATGTTTGTATCATAAAAAACCAAAATTTTCATAAAAAGTATTAAAAACCTTTTGTTTTTTATTATTCTTTTAAGACATTTGGTCCTTCCTTTACCTCCAACGAAACTAGCATCGAAAGAAGCTAAAAAAGAAGTAGAGTCTGGTGACACAGACGAGGAGGAGACAGATGTAGATGTGATTGCAAAGACCCCATCGTTTTGTGTCCTTCTCCATGGAAGTCTCAAAGTTGAAAGCATGACTGCAATCTGTCAGGTTGGTGGGAGGGAATGCTATAATGGCAACTGCAATAATTATTTAGGCACCAAGATAATTTAACGTATTTTATACATTTTACATACACGTTTGCGCGTGAAATAAAGCAACGATATGGAACTAAGTCTCCAAACTCCCATAAAACTTCGGCTGCATATATGCAACTATTTGCACGCATCCGATGTGCGTACTTTATGTGTCGATCGTGCTTTGCTTGATAGGTTGGAGAAGACTGGTATGGGATGCTCTACTCGTGGGCAGACACCAAAAAGAAGTCTAACCTGATGCTGTCTGTGTTTGAGCCCGGAGTGGGCAGCGTCCCCTGGCTGGGTAGGCTTGACCGACTTGGGCCACTCTCCGACTTTGCCGAGGCGCCGTACGGCAACGACGACGCTCGCACGCCATTCCCAGTTAAGCCTGCAGAGGCAGGCAGCTATGCGCGCAGCTGTGTTGTCTGGATCAAGCAGTCGGGGCTGCAGACGGACATACAGAAGGTGCTGCGGCATGCGCGCAAGCTGCCGGAGAAGATGTCGCACTTCTACAAGGAGCTGAACCGCGTGCGCAAGGCCGCGCTCGCCTTCGGCTTCCTCGAGCTGCTTGAAGGGCTGTCGGTGATGTTGGAGCGCGAGTGCACGATGCTGCCGGGGACCGCTCACCCTGCCGCACCGCTGCAGCTCACGCATGCTGCGGGCGCACTGCGTAGCGCCAGGCACGACTACCACTACTCGATTACACCTCTGCGCACAAACTTTGCTTCAGAGGATAGCTGAAGAAGTTGGACAGTTGAGAATGCTGTCTTCATCGATCGGTTGGAATGACTACCACTACTCGATAGCACCTCTCCGCACAAACTTTGCTTTGGAGGATAGCTGAAGAAGTTGGACAGTTGAGAATGCTGTCTTCATCGATCGGTTGGAATGACTACCACTACTCGATAGCACCTCTCAGGACAATTTAACTTTGCATTGCAGAATGACTGAAGAAGTTGGGTAGTGGAGATTACTGCCTTATTTTTTCTTCGGTTAGAAGTTGAGGCATGTGAAGCACGAATGCCAAGCTCTCACAGTGGTCAGAATCGTTAGGATAGCTGTGCAAAATATCGTAATAAACATTGGAGTAGGTGGCCGGCCACCTAAGTAATTTTTCTAGGAGAAGACTTGATTTTCTAAGACCTTTGGATAAAATTAGCTCAACTGAGGTGATTAGGACCTTCTGGCCCACACAGGATACTAAGTCAGCAGGTAGTTACATTCGTAGATACATTATGCTTCAATGTACCTGCATTTGCATTTCAATATTGAATAATTATGGCACAAAGTTATATGAAGGGGGGGCGGCGGTTATTTTCCGGAGGCAGTATTAGATCATTTTAATTATCTCAGAACTGGGAAAGGCCAGGTAAATTTTTCGTAATTCGGGAATAGAAGACTACTAAGACACGTGGAAACTAAAATCATGATTTTAAATAACTGGGAACTGGGAAATGGCAGATTTCTTGGACCTGGGAAACTGGGAATCCTCTTATCATATTTGCTTTGCGTCTACCACGATGTATACTCGAGTTTCATTAATGCAGGAGCAACCCTCACTGCGTGACGAATGCGATACTACACTATTAGTGCCCATACGGGCACATTTGCTTCTTTGATATTTGTCACTCCTTTGTACAGACAGATATTACTTGGTATTCAGAGATATTATGTAGTTCATAAGATATGATAGAAAATCGACCATTTTAATTATAATCAAAACCAAATAAAATTGTAATCCTCCAAGAACTTGTGAAAGTCTATAACGCAACGGAATGCAATGTAAGACATGCAGTGAGCGTGAAAATATTTCTAATCTAACGAATACGTACACAGAAATAATAAACGCACCCAGATTCCAGATAAAACACGTTATTATGCGCGTTTTACGATATCCACTGAGAAAATCCCTTGTAACCAGGTTCGGGCTTGGCAAGCAGAAGCGCGAAATATGTGAAAGCAAGAGAGAGAGACAGAGCAATATTGCAGGGAGAACGGGAGAGAGCGAGCGACGGAGAGAGTGTGCGAGAGAAAGCGAAAGGGAAGGAGGCAGAGGCGGAGGGGCACAGAAAGAAAAGAGAGAAGGAAGAGTGGAGATTTAGAAAGAATGGAGGGGTAGACAAATAACAGTGTATATAGAAAGAACGAACGGAAAGAGACAGGGGATGAGAAAGAGAAAGATAAACTAGACAAGAATGGAAATTTAGGGAAAAGGTGTGCGCGCGAGAGAGGTGGATGGATAGATAGATGGAGACCAGGATATATATCAAGAGCTAATAAACACCTGGTGTTTATTAGCTCTTGATATATATATATATATAGCGAGAGATGGGGTAGAGAGAGATAAAACGAGCGAGAGCGCGCGCGCGCGCGAGAGAGAGAGAGAGAGAGAGAGATAGAGAGAGAGACAAATGGGGCAGACAGGCAGAGAAACACGCATTGTGTTTCGAATTTATTAATTTTTTCTTAAATTATTATTTTACTCTGGTATTTACCACAAAATTCACTAGGATGAAATTGTACATAACAGTGCCAGTGAACAATGAAGCACGCATGTAAAAAACAAACTCATGCGTCAGTAGCAATATTGGTAGAAAGAGAGCGAAGAGAGATTGTAGAGAGAGCGAGAGAGAGAAAGAGAGAGAGCGCGCGCGAGAGAGAGAGAGAGAGAGAGAGAGCGCGCGCGCGAGAGAGAGAGAGAAAGAGAGCGCGAGAGAGAGAGAGAGAGAGAGAGAGAGAGCGCGCGCGTGAGAAAGAGAGAGTGTGCGCGCGCGAGAGAGAGAGAGAAAGAGAGAGAAAGCGCGCACGAGAGAGAGAGAGAGAGAAAGCGCGCACGAGAGAGAGAGAGAGAGAGCGCGAGAGAGGGGAGAGAGACAGAGAAACACGCGCATATTGTTTCGGATTTATTATATTTTTTTTATTTATTAATTATTCTTTTAATCTGGGACTAACCACAAAATTCACTAGGATGAAATTGTACATAACAGTGCCAGTGAACAATGAACCACTCGGATAAAAAACAAAGCCGTGCGCCAGTAGCAATATTGGGCGTTTTATGACACCATCACACCATCACGGAATGAAAGTGTATAGCGTGCCGCAATCCTCCCTTTAATTCGCAGTGTTGTAACTCAACGCTGTTTTCCTTCTAACCCGCGTTCGCATCGCACAATCTAGTAACGAAGCCAGATCGAGTGTCCATAAATGATTGCTGTTGCTGCTCGCTGATGGCGTGAACACACGCCCCGGGGAGTGAGGCAACTCAGGTACATTGTTTTAGTGTATTATAAGTATTATATTTATGTTTTCGCTCGCAGCTAATATTCTGGGAATGTAACTGCTTACATTGGGCGTTTATTTGTTATACGCTATGTTTTCCCTAGCAACTTCATTATTCTTCTTGTTTGTGCACAGTGGCGTGCATGCGGTATGCTTGTGTGTTGCAGAGAAGCATTTGAACGGCATTTACAGGAAGTTATCGGCAATAATAGGCGAAAGAGAGTAGAGAAACATTAAGCCTTTGGTAGTAAATACATTTCGTGTTTATTTACCATAATTTTTAGCTTACCTTGACATGGGGCGTCGTCCGTCGTACGTCCGTCCGTCCGTCCGTTCGTCAACATTTGGCTACGGTCAACGATAACTTGAGAACCGTTTGACCCACATGTTTCAGATTGCATACAGTTGTTACTCCTATGGGAGAGATTTGAACGTCCTATTTTGGAGCACGCCAGTTGACCGACTTTCGAGCCACGCCCACTTTTTGGCAAAAATTGAAATGGCCATAAGTCAGTTCAGGTTCAACGGATTTTGCTCATTTTTGGTATGTGAATTCCCGGTTGCTATACGATGAACACATATGACGTATCACGTATGCCTAGCTATTTATTTATTATGTATTTATTGAAGATAACATAATGAACATAAGATTAACAAAAGAAGTCAACATAATTAAAAAATAAATAAATAATAATAATAATAATAATAGTTTTTGGGGGGCAAGTACCCCCCTGCCCTCCCCCCCCCGGTTCCGCCGCCCTTGGTTGTGCACGATGAGAAGGCTACTAAAGACGAGCAACGGCGGCACGACAGCGACGCATGCGCAAACAGCGGTAGCACGCATGCGCGAACGGCGGCATCACACGCGTAACCACTGACGACCAACCCTCCAACGGCGGCAGCGGCGGCAACACAGGCGCTAACGACGGCGGCGGTAATACGCGCTAACGGCGGTAACACACGCACTAACGGCGGGGGCGGTAACACACGCCAACGGCGGTAACACACGCTAACGGCGGTAACACGCGCTAACAACGGTAACACGCGCTAATGGCGGTAACACACGCACTAACGGCGGTAACACACGCACTAACGGCGGCGGCGGTAACACACTCCAACGGCGGTAACACACGCTAACGGCGGTAACACGCGCTAACAACGGTATAACACGCGCTAACGGCGGTAACACGCGCTAATGGCGGTAACACGCGCTAACGACGGTAACACGCGCTAAAGGCGGTAACACACGCCAACGGCGGTAACACACGCCAACGGCGGTAACACACGCGCTAACGGCGGTAACACGCGCTAACGGCGGTAACACGCGCTAACGGCGGTAACACACGCGCTAACGGCGGTAACACGCGCTAACGGCGGTAACACACGCACTAACGGCGGTAACACACGCTAACGGCGGTAACACACGCACTAACGGCGGTAACACGCGCTAACGGCGGTAACACGCGCTAACGGCGGTAACACGCGCTAACGGCGGTAACACGCGCTAACGGCGGTAACACGCGCTAACGGCGGTAACACGCGCTAACGGCGGTAACACACGCACTAACGGCGGTAACACGCGCTAACGGCGATAACACACGCTAACGGCGGTAACACACGCACTAACGGTGGTAACACGCACTAACGGTGGTAACACGCGCTAACGACGGTAACACACGCGCTAACGGTGGTAACACACGCTAACAGTGGTAACACCACTAACACACGCTAACGGTGGTAACACCACTAACACACGCACTAACGGCGCTAACGGCGGTAACACATTTACTTGTCAAGTGTTAGACTGGTACTCGCTCCCACCTTGATTACTCGATGGTAAAGCCGAGAGGTGGGACCGGGTACCAGTCTAGTCAAGTGTATTTTTGATATATAGGGACCCTAGGTACCCTGGGTCTGGCGTGCTCTACACTGAGAGAGCACTCAGTGTAGAGAGCACTCGTCTCTCTCAGTGTAGAGCACGCCAGACCCAGGGTACCCGGATGGGGGCGCTGCATGCAGTTTGACATGTATGTAGTTTTATTCGCAATGTTCTCTGGGATTAACAACAACTACCACTCGGCAACTCTGTATGTAAAGTTCATGCGTGCGTTGGTTTAGACTGCTTGGAATTCGATGTTCTATGCCTCTGTATTATAATTAATATCCACTCCTATATGCGATAGTAAATAGGTTCATTCAAACTAAAGATGTTTTGGGGTAGGTTAATTTGCCATCCTATACTTTAATTCGATGTAGTAAATGATGTGTGACCGTGAGTGACTTCTCGTTCATGATTCACGACACAAGACAAGTGACAATCACAATGATTCATGCACTTTCTTTGATTCAATTTCAAGGTATCACGGGTGAATGAAAACAAACATTAGCTTTTATGCACTCCCAGTCCTGATGGCATTCGTATTTTTCGATTGATTTAAAGATATATAATATATGTCCTATCTTCCTCATGAAATTGTGCCAGCAAACAAAAGCTGACTTGTGAATGTCCTAGCCTGTGTACAGTGTAGGCTGTATTACTATTAGTATTAGTATTACTAGTGACTAGTGTATAATATTATAGTCTCTACTAGCAAATGGCATAATACTTAATAGTAATATAAGGAGTACTAATATACCCCGTACAGACTGCAAAATTTGACCCCACATCAAACTAGTCTGCACCAAGCGCTCGCCAAATCGTAGCATACACAGTCTATACAGACACAATATTTGTACCCACATCAATACATGCGTCTAAACAGAGGAATTGCTCCGACCTGTGATTGCAGGATAAAAATAGCATTCGTGACGTTTTGTTTTCATTTTGGCATTTAGCCTATAGTATATAAGCGATACCGCGCATACATTTCCTAATTAATTAAGCTAATCGCGCTTCAATAAACTCAAGACTCACAGGGATGGTACGTGGTCCGTATGCGGCGGAGTATGCAAAATGAACACAAAACTTCACAAATTCTATTTTCTCCAATCACAGGTCGGAGCAATTCCTCTGGTTAGACGCATGTCATCAAATTAGCTCAGTTCAGCTAGTTACGTCACCCCGCAGAGAGTAATGTACTTTCATGTGACTTAAATAAGGATGCGCATTGCGAAATCTGACTCGCGCCTGGCCCCACATTGCATACACACACACAAGCGGGCTAACTTCGTACAGGGCAAGTTATCCCGGGCTTGGCCCTCCTTCATTTGCGGGGCCAAATTGCATGGTGCGTATTTGGAACGGGATAGCATGTACAGTGTACACACTGCAAAAATTTGACAAGGGCCTGGCCCAGACAAGTTTGATGTGGTATCAATCAATTTTCAGTCTGTAAGGGGTAATAGTAATAAAGAGTCTTGGTGCAGGTGCCCCAGTGGGGGCACGTTGACTGTTATTAGTGGAAAAAAACTTGGTCCTCTATCAAAGTTTAATGGGCCTAGATTTGTTGAAGTGGTGTGATTCATCATTTAGTATCATATGAAAACTTAATTTAATTTGCAGGTGTGACGCTAGATGGAGGCAAACGATATACCCAGACGGTGGAGCATTCCTTTCACATATCAATGGCTGCGTTAGAGCGAAACAGCCATCACTATGGTGGTGATTGTCACTTTGTGAATAGAAAAAACTGATCAGTACTAATTTAGATTTACAGTCTAATATAAGTGTGCTATTTTTAACAGGGAATATGTAACAAATGCATCTTTTGCCACTCAATCTTGTTGACACACACACACAGGAGATATATTTTGTTGTTTAGTAGATGTGAAGCATCAAGAGCCTGTTTCACTGATGGTGCAACACGACAAAGCAGAGTTCCTTCTCTGTACCCTCAGTCATAACAAGATTCCCCAGCAGCCACTGAACCTTAGCTTTACGGAGGGAGAAGAAGTGACCTTCTTCCTAGAAGGAAAGGGTAAGCAATGCTGGAATCTATGTGTATATAGCAAGAGTAAGTATGCATGGCCAGAGTGAACAATTGCAGCCTACCAAGCTTTATTCCTATTAAAGTTCTATAACTCAAAAATAAATTACCAGTATGTGTAGTAATCAAAAGTACTCACAGTTTCTTTTGGCGAGGTATACGTTAATATCAATTCATTGACAGACGGAGACAAGTGAATAATTTATTATCACATCATTAATTACAATATGCCCCATCTATTCCAGAGTAAGGTTTATAATTTTGGCTATGATGGTGGTAAATTTACTTGCTAAAATTATACCTGTATGCAGGAACGATTCACCTGACAGGTTACATATTGATTGAAGAGGATGACTTCATGTCTGAGGAAGAGAGTTCAGCTGAAGGTTAGCTCTCATCTCACATTTGTCGCTTGCTTTGCTTGTTGTCCTTGTATATAACAGTATATATAGGTTTCATTATCTTCTTATTTAAAATTTGTTTACGCATGCTTGCTCGAGGCTTGGTCCTCACCAGTTACACACTTCGCATTTGTTGAAAGTAATGTATGTGTATTAGTAGGGGTTTAGCTAGGATTTGTAAATAAGGTGCTGTAATGCGACAGAATGCGAGCATGGGATGCACAAGGCTCGTCTGGGGGTGTCCAAGGCATGCCCTCCTGGAAACATTTTGAAAATTAGATGGAATTTCCTGCAATCTGACACATTTCTGAGTAATTCTTGCACATTTCTGGGTGCATTTCTTTTAAACAATGGGCATGAATATTTGCAAACAACATATTAGATTGCCAAAAAATGTAACATTAAAAATGTTGGCCTTTTAACCAGGTGACTTTCTAGCTACGTCGTCGTTAGTGTTGTCAATCGGTTGTAATTTCGTAATCGATCATCGGTTGGACCCAAGTAACCGATGATCGGTTACAATCGGTTACTCGGGGTGTTGAATGCCTGCGTGTGCGTAACGTCGTGTGCATGTATGTGCTTGTTTAGCCCTGTTTACTGTTTGTTTTGCACTGTTTACTACTGTGTGTATAATACATGTTTGTTAATAAAGGATAACTTGTCTAGTAGCGATGATATCTCTGATTCTCATCACTTTTCCAAGTTTTCTTGTTCAAGTTTTACATTTATTTCGATTTTTTTTTCTTCTTTTTTTCGATGAAAATCGATTATGGATTTTGATAATCAAGCGCTTGGTTCGAGCCACTGTTCAACCGATGATCGAGTATAATTGATGATCGTAACATCACTAAGCGCTTGGTTCGAGCCACTGTTCAACCGATGATCGAGTATAATCGATGATCGTAACATCACTAGTCATCGTTACTGGGGAAATTGTGTCTCTCAAGTGATTTTACCTGCAAATATAACTGTTTGTTAGAATATTCTGTAATTTCTAGGGTCGGCCCCGTAAACCGATTAATTGACCTGTGCACGTTACATATATTCAATTGAAATGCTGTTTATCAATCTATCCGTTACTACTGTGAAATATTGCTGTAATTCCGTCTCCATTGTGTAGAAATACCAGAGTTGCAAGCAATTGGTGATGGACCTCATCTTAAAGAAATTACAGAGGAAGAAGCAGCTCTCATATCAAAGCAAATAGCAGGTAGGTCATTGTATGTAGTCATTAGCAGTGCATGTCTATTAGGCTGCTCTACTGTACCACCTTTGTACTACCACAAAAGAAGAAAGAAATCTCATATCTGTAGGAGGTCAGTATTTGCCTTGCGGTGATCAGCTAAAAGTCTGCATGGCAATAGAGGGTTTCCATGTCGAAAACATTAAATTCATAATATTTTTAAAAAGGTTGGAATATTTTGGAAAAGTGTTAAAAATGCTACTCAGTCTTAGAATAAAATGTTATTTGACCAAGTTAGTTATCGTACATTTGCACAAACGCCAAGTACAGTTCCTATACACAAATTATAGTTGTTGAATTTGTCACACATAGGTTATAGGTTACATTTCTGCTTGTGTTACCTCAGTATCATGATTTACAAGATAGATGTATGTCTCTGCGATTTACACAGGCAAGAAGCGTAAACGCCAAGACGCGGATCTATCTGTGAAAAAGGAACAGGAAAAAATGACCAATAAATGTACGCATCAGCTACTTCTAATTTAATGCTCTACATTCCATGCATGCAGGTGTAATGTAAGCATAGTCAGTTTTGTAGAAAATCTGTTAATGTAATTGTAGTGTTTCATTCCATTGAATCACTTATGATTATTGATTAAAATTTTTGATGTTTGCCATGATAATTTTAGATACTGTGAAGTATAAAATTAATATTGAAAATATAGTTTGTTATATATTATTGCTTGAGAGAAATGTGTCCCAACCCTTTTAAGAACACTCGGTAATGATTATTTCAAATACTATAGCTGAAGAGAAGAAGAAAAAGAAGAAGAAAATCATCGAACCACAGGTTTGTTTCAAGAAATTGATGTCAGAATCTTAATTTGTATAAATATTAAAGATACATCTTATTAAATTCAGTAACCAGTCAATAATTGTGGCCCATATACTAAGTTAGCTGTTCGTAACAAATTAGAGCAGTGTAATTAAATCTACCACTAAATTCAGTACACTTATTTAACATCAGGTTTCAACACTACGTTATTTAAACAGTGCACAGCATTGCGTTCATGTTATTGGCATTCTGCTAAGGTCTAGCACCATATTTGCAATCTGTTTGCCAAAAAAAACACATGTATTATCCCATAAAGTGTTATCAGTATTAGTAAATCAGTATACGTAATGCCAGTACTCGCAGAAAAATAGTGTGTTGCGACCGTATAATGGTTGTATAATGAGATTCGCAAGGAAACAGCCAGGTGCTTTCGTGCATTAATTGCAGGATTCTGATAGCGATAGTGGAGAAGAGTCTTCACTTCCAACAAGCGATGACGAGGATGACTCGGAGGAGGAAAATGAGAAAGGTTCACTTTTGTTCAGAGTATAAAGCTTTTATCACCAACTGCATGAATTTTATATTGGGGCGAGTTTGTCATAATAGCAGGTTTCATCTTATCATTTCATTCATAATTGAGTTATTTGGCAAGTGGTTGGTCATCACAGTAAAATAAGACTCACTGAAGTGGGGCACAGTATGGAAAATGTCCTGTGTTTAATTAGGAGCTATATATGCCCATTGCCATGAGTATCTAAATTCTTGGAAGGCAGCTAGGAGTGTGTGCTGCTCTGTTAGTTGAAAACAATGCTTGTTGATGTAATCCGTTGTTACAGTGAGGGAAGACAGGTTTGTGCCGTCTGGTCTTCGAAAATGCAGGTCAATCGCATAAATTTTTGGAGAGAGTGGGCCTATATTCTAACTTTTGGAAAAGGCAGGAATGTTCGTGATAAGTTTGTGTCTTGTTTTATTAGAAAATGTTGGTCGGGATACTGTAATGCAAGAGCAGTCAGGCCTGCACAGACACCGTTAAAAACGAAGACAAATTTCTATGTCCTGTGTAGTGTTCTATTGGTTATGGATCCATGTCATTTACCTTGTAATCCCAATGGTTCTTGTTAGGTGAGTAATATAATGTCACGTGCGTACATTTCATTGCTGTGTCAAGACAACAGTTGTCAATGTTACCAGGAATTTTTCTGTAGGGCTATGGATAAATTTCGGGCACTATTTAATTTTGTCAGATGCTTCACTTAGACTGCCAGCAGTGCGGCCAGCAGGCAGCTTTGATGACCAACTCTCAGATGATGATTCTACAGGTAGATCGATCAAGCTTGGTGCTAGCTGATGAGTACAAGGGGCAGGGCTCGAGTTCTTCCTTGAAGCCAACATTCCTGACTGCTATACATATTTATCATGTGAATGTCAGACGAATTTGCCAATGGTATCTGCCAACCAGCTGCAGCTGTAGAAATTCTTTTCTCTTCTCTGCATTATAGTAGCCTTCATATTCGTAGCGAATTAGTTTACTTTTTGGCCGTGATGGCTCCTCATCGGAACCGAATATAACCGTACAGCATGGTTGTCAGTTTGTATCTGTTCTGTTTACACACTGTCCATACATGTCTTCCCCAAAAGGGTTGGCTCATCTGACACAATCAGTTTCAATTAGTATAATAGAGCAAGTACGTGTGCATCTATCCATTCATTCATCTGTCAATGGCACCATTAATCAAAATATCTGTGGGTAGTGCTCATATTTGTGTACCTGCTCATATCTGTGTGTTCGTGTGTGCGTTCATGTGTGTGTGGGGGGGGGGATTTTGTGTGTGTGTGGGGGGGTGCTTTTGTGTGTGTGTGCGTGCGTGCGTGCGTGCGTTCATGTGTGTGTGTATGTGTGCGTTGGTTTGAGTGTATGCGTGCGTTGGTTTGAGTGTATGCGTGCGTGCCTGTGTGCATGTTTATGTTGGCTAGAGGGATGGGGGGTATACCTGGTAGGATATCAGCATGTTACAACTATACAGCAAAATATTTCCAACACCTTTATCATGCATAAAGTTTTATAATTGACAAAGCACAATAGACTAAAGATGTCAGACTTTTCTGGGCATGATCTAATATGGACCTTCTAAGGTACTGATTAGTAGCAACTGAATTGCATTTACAATACGTTTTTTTTGCTGATGTGTTGGTGAACATTTTGACCCTTAAGAGGCAGGCTAAACCTTTATTACTCTTATATGTTAAAAACATCTTATAGTTTGTAATGCTTTTATTGCTAAAATTTGAAAATCAAGAGATTGAGTTCTGTTTTGTTGTACTCGTCAAATTTTGAGCTACTTGAGTTTACATTACAAATGAGACGATCACAACTACCATGTGTTTTAGAAGAACTCGTGTGGTGTTATATTCATGTGTACATATTTCGTTCTGATTTCAGGTAGTTATATCCCGTTTGAGTCTAAAAGAATGGCAAAGGGTGAGAAAAAGCAAATTGTGAGTGAGAAGAAGAAAAAGGAGAAAACGAAGAACACCCCAAAGTTAGATGCAAAGGTAAAAACTGTTCAGGAACAGTCGGAGAAGAAGAAAAAGAAAAAGAAGACCTCACAAGAGCTGGTTAATGGTGATGATGAGAAGAAGGTAATTGTTGACGTATATATTGTTCATTATCCATTAAATTATGCAATGTTTGAGGTCAGTATTATCATAATAATTAAACCCATTGTGGGTGTTTTGCCTATTCCTACTAATTTTTAGCTCATCTGACGTAGTCAGGTGCAGCTTGTAGAATCGCATGATTGTCCGTCCGTCTGTCAACAGTTGGGCACAAATCTTAACCGCTCGCCGTACGGTCACGATATTCGGGAAGTGGGGGGTAATCCGAAAACGAGTTGGGATGTCGAAGCTGGGGTCAAAGGTCAAAGGTCAAGAGGTGTAAAAGAAGGGGGAACATTCCCTCCTTAACTTAA